ATTATTTTTCCAGGATAATAGAATGTAGCGAGTTAACTGTAAAGAATGGTGGCTGTGATCCGTTTGCAACTGTTACGGTCATTTATAGTAATGGTAAACAAGTATTAAAGCGCACAAAAATTAAGAAGAAAACAGTATCCCCATATTTTAATGAGATATTCGTCTTCGAGGTAAGTACGATGTCTGTGGTGTCTTCGGTGCAGTTATTAAATTCGTTCGATCTTCGTTACAGCCAGAAATAACCGAATCCAAAGAGAAGGATATCTCCCATTATCCTGTCGAGCGAGGAGAAGTGGGCGAAGTAGTTGTAGGCTTGTGGCATGCGTCTCCCGGTATGGGAGAGCAGCCAGCTTTCCTCGGTGAAGTTAGAGTTACCTTAAAGGGTCTACAAAAACAGCCGACCAGTACAACAACCGCGTGGTATGTTCTTTGCATCATTTATATTAAGAACGTGGAAGTTAAGTAATATGTAAATTTTAATTCATTGTGTTTAAATATAGAAAACTCACAACTTTAACAATCTTTAAAAAATTCTATCCTTTTATTCTATAAAAAGATTTAAGAAAATTATTTAATGTACATCGCAGTTCAGGGAATATCAGAGATTTTTTAATCAGTGAATTGACAAATTAATCTTATTTTATTACATTTTCAATCGTATTTTGTCGACAAAATACAGAGAACTGAAACTTTGATATCAAGATTCACGTAGTTATCACAGTAATACTACAGATCTACTTTTAATGTTCGATAACAGGTACTTTCTGCAACCTAGAGCGGTGAAACATCGTCCAAGTAAAATCTCGAACAGTTCTACACCACCCGGTGCTGTTCCATGCTTAGGATCACTGAGGCTGAAGGTACATTACACGGCGGATCATGTTTTCCCATCGGCGATGTACGATAGGCTTAGGAATTTGTTATTACAAAGTGTCAACGTCCAGCCAATAACGTCGTCCGCTGTTTATATCCTCGGCGAAATCGTGGCGAGCAAAATGGAAGCTGCCCAACCGTTGGTTAGGCTGTTGGTACATTACGGACAATTGGTTTCCGTAATGCGTGCTTTAGCTAGTCATGAAATCTCGAAATTGACGTAAGTAAAAATATACATCGTGCCTTAATGAGATTTCCGACCTTAAACACTAATTAAAATTAAATGACGATTACAGAGACAACACTAATCCAATGCATCACATACATACATAAAATGTGCGACATTACTCCTACGATTTACTCAATTTTGTCTTTATATTATTTTATAATAAGAATATAACACTAAGCTACCAGTATGGTGATTGAAAATCGTTTCTAAAACCTATCGTATGACTTAACAAAAAATGCATTAAGAATTGTTTAAGCTTATATGAATCCTTGTATAAAAACAATGACAAAGCATTGAAATTTTGAGAATCTATTAGAACAGTTATTACATCTTGAATCTTATGTCGAATCACAGAATTTTGATTTCATTCATGAAAAAATATGAATGCAACAATGACAGAATTTTGTAATTTTGTATAATTCTTAATACATGATTTAAGAATATTATATGTTGAAATAATGTTAATTTCAAGGATATTATTTAAGACATACAATAAAACGAATTATAGGACATGTAGACAATGTAGACAGTTGCAAGTCACGTATAGTCCAATCAAAATATGCCAAAACTATACATTAGAATATTAGAAGTCATGCGTTAAAAATTCCTTATAACCGAGAAAAGTAGGTCGAACAATTTTATAAATCTTACTACTAATTATCATTTCTTCTATTGGCCGTCTTAAACTTTTGGATCTTACAACTGGCTCATACAACCTTAACGTGAAAGAGCCTGATAAATACAAATGAAATGTCTTTCTGCTTTGAATTTTGGGTGTTCCCATTGAAAATCATTTGCAAAACTATGATAATTAGACTGCGGATTTTTATGCAAGATAGAACTTGGAAAGTACAAATTTTGGAAATTATAATCATTAGTGTCCTTTAATTCTTTAAACATCATTTTATGCATTGTTGTTCACTATTTATATATTTTTCACGATTTGTACATACTCATAAAATTACATAATATACATAAAATTCATTGTCTACTAATAATCGATGCTTTCATTATTTGCAGCGACCCGACGACAATTTTTCGTGGTAACACGTTAGTGAGCAAAATGATGGACGAGGGTATGAGACTGGCGGGTCTTCACTACTTGCACAGCACGCTTCGACCCGCTATGGAACAAGTTTTCTCCGAAAAGAAGCCATGCGAGATAGATCCATCGAGGGTGAAGGACGCCAACACGATTCAGACGAATTTAACTAATTTAAAAGTATGCGAATAAGATTTACTTTATTTATTATAATTAGACTGCGGATCTTTATGCAAAATAAAACATTTATGGTATCAGTTGAAAAGATGTATCTATATAAATATTTGTTAGATCATTTAAACATTTTGTCACATGATCAGTTTTCGATATTATGTATTGTCTTATACGTTACATTTATCATTTTTTCTGATTCAATTTTATTATAATTGAATAAAATCCGCAGTGTGATTATTATTAATATCAATTATATTAAGAGGTAACATCACTGATCGAAACATATTATATATAAATCCATTTTAATGATGAAGTTTCATTATGACTTTATCATTATGTTTTGACAATGGGAAAATTTTATAATGAAATCAGTAAGTCATTTAGATAATTTTAAATGGTATTTCTTACTGACTCACCCTGTATATCGGTCACATCTTAAACATCTTCATTGATTTTAATGATACGCAAAATGTGGAAGGAAGCAAAATGTTTGTTTCAGTAGGGCAATTATTGTGTCAGAGATTTCTTTTTCAAGGCCATATTCTCCGCTATTTCAAGATCAGATTTCAATCGCACTTGTCTCTCTCACAGTACTTTATGTTTTCCCCCTCGATCAACCCCTCCGGATATATGACCACGCCCGGTCGCGATCAGTGGCCATATATGGAGATTACTGTATTTATTTATAAATAGATTATTTATTATCTAGAAATAGAATTAGGGCCCTGATCAAAACAAGTGGAGGGCCGGGATTTGCTCATGTGCGCTTCAACCGATAATTAAATTAATTTGTTCAACAGGAGTACGTCGAGAGAGTGTTCACCGCTATCACAACGTCCGGCGTACGGTGCCCACCGTTGATGTGCGAGATGTTTTGGTGTTTGAGAGAACTCGCGGCAACCCACTTCCCGAAAAACAAGGAAGTAAGATATTCGGTGATCAGCGGATTTATTTTTTTACGATTCTTTGCGCCTGCGATATTGGGTCCAAGATTATTCGATATTACTACCGAACAAATTGTAAGATTATCGTTAAGAGAAACCGACAGGTCTGTCCGTCTATCGTATGTAGTGAACGTAGTCGTCTTCGTTGCAGGATTCTCAGACTAATAGAACGTTGACGTTAATCTCTAAGACGATTCAGAGCCTGGGTAACTTGGTGAGTTGCAGGGGCGGTGCAGGTAGTGTTTGTAAGGAGGAGTATATGGAATGCGTATACAGGTATAAACGAGTAACGTTCGCCGGTAATTTATAACTGCGAACTAACAGATTTCGTATATTATTTATAGATTACTCTTTCAGAGAATTTTACACGGACAGGCACATACAAGCTGTTAAGCAATTCCTCGAGTTGATATCCACTGGCAGCAGCAGTACCATCGCCAAACAACGGACGAGCACTCGGGAGGAACAGCCGATCGTATTAAAAGAAGGGTATGTACGATCATTAATTTTATAGCATTCGTGTACATATAAAAATATGCACAGTGCTTTATGACTGGAAATGAATGAAGATAACGTTGGTGCATACGTGTTCCAGTTCTGTTCTGAAAAATATTTATAATATGCAAGGCTGGTTTATTTATTTCGATTCTAATATTTAAAGATTTAGATTCCATTCCTTCCGAATACTTATAAGAAATCTAAAGATGCATATATGTAGGTACTAGGGGTATCAAAATGCTCGCGAATAATCGATCCGATCCGAGTACTTGAAAGAACTGAGCAGCTGAAAGAATCGGAAGAAACCGACTGGCTCGAATAAACCGAGTAGCTCGAACGGGATCAAGTAGTTTGTAAAAGGAAAGCGACTCAAATGAAGCAATGCAATGCACTGATTGCTCCTGATGCAGAATAACAGTTTATAGTAATTGAATATTTTCAATCTATCTAAATGTACGATCTAAGTAAATAGATCGTACAATTTAGATGCTTCATGCATATCCATATTGAAAAAACATATTGTACAATAAATATAATATTTTTTTCATACATACTATATACCAGACATTTACATTTTATCATGTGCTGTCGTTTGACCACTGAAGTGAATAGTT